GTTTTCCCCAAGATTTTAAGTAGACAAATTTATTAGCTTTCAATTTCATCTGTGAAATAACCATCTTTTGTGATTATCTCTTGAAAAAAAAAGCTTTCGTTCTTACTTGTATCTGCCATATCATTTCTCTGAGAAAAGAACAAAGATTCAAATTTATGAGTTTTTTTTTTTGTTTTTTTTTTTTGTCTAAAGTGTCGAAAAGGGATTTGGGGTGTTTGAGGTAATAATTAGTTGTTATAACAACAACCATTATTATCCTTTCTTTCCCAAAAAAAGAAATAACCCGTATGAAGTGGTATGTCTTTCTGAAGTGTTTCGTGATCACCTCCCTTGATCGTAATCACTGTTAGAAGACAAATCTAGCAGTGGCCTCACGTGATAATAAGCCTGGCTTTCAGCCATCAACACTCCATAGAAAGACACTTAGGGAACGTTGCTTGTATTGTTAAAGGCTCGTTGGGGATGACCTTTTCGGCAGGTTTCCCAAGGGAAGTGAGGGAGAAATAAAAGAAAGAAGGGAAGGAAATAATGAGTGCGGTTTCCCTCCAACAAGACAAGGGGCTGTTGTGGGGGGTCTCGTTTGGAGAGTCTGTTGGCTTGACCTTTCGCTCCACTTCAAGGAAAAAAAAAAAAAACCCTCCGAGATGGCTGTCATGGCTCTTGCACGGCGACCTTTCTCCCGCGCCCGAACAACTCAGAAAATACGCTATTGACAACACGCGCACGTGTAAACCGCCCATTCAACTGTTACCGCCTTTGCCGTCTGCGGACTATTTTCTTTTTTTTCTTCTTTCTTTCTTTCTTTCTTTCTTTCTTTCTTTCTTTCTTTCTTTCTTCGCCTCATGACTTATGCCAGTGTTCGATGAAATCGCTGTTTCGAACAGAAGAAAAAAAACTCATTTTTATCTCATTTTCTTAGTCTACTGTTTCATGAAATGTTTCTCGGAAGTAGCCAGAACATTTTTGAAATCGTAAGAAGTTTCAAATATATATATATATATATAATGCTCTGTAAATTTACATTGAGTACTATTTTGTCAAAATAAAAATATCTATAAGAACACCGGATTATATATCTTACTGTTCTTTTTTTTTTATATTATATATATATATATATATATATATATATATATATATATATATATATATATATATACAGACCAATCTCGGTTCTCGAACGTCTCACATGTCGAACAAATCGGTTTTCGAACAGAAAATTCGAGATGAAAATACCTCGGTTAACGAACAAAATTTCGGTTCTCGAACAACATTGCCCAACCGAGTTAACCCGAATGGAATCATTTCTGAGTCGACCGCCATGTTGTATACATTGGTGTGTTGTGGCGTGCTTTTCTTTACCAATTTTATTATACTGTGACTTTTTTCCTCCCTACATTGATTCCTATTGGAAACATGGTTTCGGTTTACGAACATTTCAGGTTACGAATGATGGCCTCCAGGAACGAATTAAATTCGTGAACCGAGGTTCCACTGTATATATATATATATATATATATATATATATATATATATATATATATATATATATATATATCAGGTGTAACTCCAAAATTGTCCAATTGTTAGATTAAGCTTTTAACTGTTCTATCTTAGAAATGATTAAAGATATCTTACTGGAATTCTCCGAGGTTTTATAACACTATTGTGTTCTGAACAATAAGAATGTATAATTACTCTCCAATCTGAACCGAACTATCGTGATGAAATAAATCATAAATAAGGATCAGAAGCTCATGAAGGATTAAAATTAGGTTCAAATATATTATATTTATAATATATTTATATTCCAGAGTCATTTTTCAGCTTATTTAAAATGAGATTCGCCCTCTCTAACCTTTTAGCTTTCTGTCCTGGAGGAATAGTGCCTCACGGGTTTCATGTACGATTTCATTTTCAAGATTTGTTTTCACTGCTCTTTAAAGTAACACTTGCAACCAAAGCGTCCTCAAATGTAACCCTTCGTATTCCTTTGGATGTTGTTGGTACAGCCGAAAGGAAGGCCATGTAGTTTGGGCAGCGCACGACCTTTCTATAGCATTGCCCAGGAATGCACCCTGGAAAGGTCATTCCAGTTTCACTACAAAAGATCGAACCAAACAACGCGCTACCTTTATCTTGCGAGATAAACGGATGCCTGCTATTGTGATTTTTCTATAAAAAAAATGTATTTTGGCCATTTTGCTATAAGAATGTATTGTTGGTCCTTTTATTATAAAAATGTACTGCCTTTTATATGATGTAACGTTAGTACTTACCTGTTACAAGTATTTCCAAGACTATAAACCTTCCTCAAGCTCAAACATGCCCTGTTTTTATTTGAGGATTCACTATTTGCCCAGCGCTTGGACCCTAACAGAGGCTACAACCCGAGGTCTGAGGTGACCTGGGAACAACAGCAGTTAAAAGGTGGTTTCACGCTCCTCAAAATCTCCTATCTCCTGATCAGAAGCCTGCCGGTTGTAGTTCATCGTCACACCCAGGACGGCGTATATATGAGTTCAATTAAGATATGGGGGTGAATAAAGTGGTCACATGATCATATATATATATATATATATATATATATATATATATATATATATATATATATATATATATATATATATTTAAAAGATATTTTTGTAGGTACAAAATTTAATGATCGAAATAAAAGTATAAAATTTAATATTACAAGACATATTAAAAAAAAAAAAAACACAACAAAGGGGAAGCAACCGGTTTCGCTCCCGCTCTTCAGGCTTCAACGGGAGATTCAAAATTAATGCAGAAAAAATGTACAATAGAGGAATGGGGGATAAAAAAATAATAAAAAATTGTGTTTTTTGTTTTTTTTATTTTTTAATATGTCTTGTAATATTAAATTTTATACTTTTATTTCGATCATATATATATATATATATATATATATATATATATATATATATATATATATATATATATAGTTGACTCGTTTCTGTCTTTCTTTGCTATTAGTTTAAATGTCACAACCATTTGATATTTTGTTGTTTAAACGTGGAAGAAAGGAATATGAAAGAATGTACTTCTGCCGCAACCTTCAGTGAGCAGTAGAAATTTCTTCTTCCTGATTAAACAATGTAAAAAATGTGTTAAGGCGCTCCCGCCCACTCTCGTCACAGCATATCAATTTTACCGCGAGCGCTCAACGACGCCGACATGAGTAAACATAGAAGAAGATGGACGAAGGAAAGAAAGACAAAAATAAAGAAAACACAAACATTAAAGTAAGCAAGAAAGAAAGAAAATTTTGTGACCTTTTTCTTTTGTCACCAAAGCAGGCTACGCATCAACACAAACTCTCAACTGTTTTATGCTAATGTCAAATTGTGATGTAGACGGTATAACTTTTGCTATTTTGCTACCAAGGGAGCGAAGACTCTCTTTGATGACTTCGGACCGTTGATGGTCTCCTTGGAGAGTCATTAGTCACAGATAAAAGAGTCCGAAATGTTTTGCGCTTCAACCTTAACTCGGAAAATAATTTTCTCTTCGAGACGCTAGGCAAAATGGTGTCGTAGCATCTATTTTTTTTCCTCCTCCTTCTTCTCTTCCTCTTCTTCTTCTTCTATCTTGCCTGCCATAAAATTAATTACAATTTTCCAAAAGTACATTAAACTAGCTTGATAATAAACCCGATGGAAATTAGATGAACAGAAGGGAAAACAAAATGAATTTGCTTTTCTGTTTTTGTTTTTCTTTTTTTAAAATTCATCTTAAATTTGTATCGTAGCTAATTTCGACACGAAAATACACTGGGACATCCTTCAGATAGGGGGGGGAAGCAATTAACTTGCGAATGAAAACGAAAATGGCAATGGGATCTTTTTCTGTTGAGCAGTCAGTCACCTGACTCCAGAATGAATATGAAAGAACACGAGAAACTTCTGCTATGTGATCACTTGACATAAGCATAAAAATGAAAGGACATTGGGATTTACATCAACGTTGCAATCACCTGACTTAACAGGAATACGATAGGACAGTAAGAACATCTGCTGGTAGCAGTAATAGTAATATTAGCGGTAATATAGGCCATTACAAGAATATCTTATTAATCATAATGTTATCATTAGCCGCTTCCTTACAGTATATTCGATAAACATCTTCAATATAAATATGGTTTGGTTTGATTTGGTTTAAGGTATATCAACACTTCAATGGGTTATTTAATGCAAACAAAATTTTTAGGATAGGTTCGTATGAATAGAATATGTATTCTTTGTAAGAAATCAGTTTGTAGATCTGGGTTTAGGTTTATTTTGCTTTACGGCATATCAACATCTCAATGGGTTATTTAATGCAAACAAATTTTTTAGGATAGGTTCGTATGAATAGAATATGTATTCGTTGTCAGAAATTAGTTTCTAGATCTGGGTTTGCCTTTATTTTGCTTTACGGCATATCAACATCTCAATGGGTTATTTAATGCAAACAAAATTTTAGGATAGATTCGTATGAAAAGAATATGTATTCTTTGTCAGAAATTAGTTTCTAGATCAGGGTTTGCCTTTATTTTGCTTTACGGCATATCAACATCTCAATGGGTTATTTAATGCAAACAAAATTTTTAGGATAGGTTCGTATGAATAGAATATGTATTCTTTGTAAGAAATCAGTTCGTAGATCTGGGTGTGGGTTTATTTTGTTTTACAGCATATCAACATCTCAATGGGTTATTTAATGCCGACAAGATTTTTTATTGCTGGTAATATTTTTTGAGCAAAACTGTATTGTTGGTAATAATTTGTTTTCCAAAAATTTATTGCTGGTAGTAAAATCTATTTTTAAACTTACATAATGTTTTGACCCGAGTTTGGGGTTGGGATCGGCGTGCCGGTTTCAAATGATATCCAAAGCAATATGTTCGTTTTCATTCACCCTTGGGAAAGGCATGAATCCATCACTTCCTGCCCAACAAGGAGTCAATAGCGGAGCAGACTGAAATCTCTATCTTTAGGGGCTTGGGGCCATATCTTATAAAAAATCACCGCTTCTCGCCCGATTACCGAAGTTAAGAAACGTCGATCGTGTTCAGTACCTGGATGGGTGTCCGCTTGGGAATACCGGGTGTTGTAAGCTTGAATGTTTAATGGATAGCGGTACGGAATTGGAATATCGGAGAGCCGAGTTCAAATTTCAGTCGGATTCATTGTATTCACTTGTGCGCAAATACCCCTTGGGAAATCCATCTCTTCTACTCCCAGCTATGGGTTAAATAGTAGTACTTGTGTCAGTAAAACTATTATTACCTCAAAAATAAATGTTAAACTCCCCAGATATTATTGGCTTTAAATTCTCTTCAAAAGGTTGATAAGCCGTAAAAAATAAACAATCCAATCAATCTAGGTAACTACTTTCGGAGCAAATGTCTAAACTGAAAACCGATTGGAAGGGAAATTAACAACACCCCCTGTAATGGTAATGATAATGGTAATATTAGCCGTTTCCTTATAAGGAAACATTTGGCATTCATTGGTCGAGCAGCCAGTACTACTGTTGATTGAAATTTATAAAATCTTTCTCTAAAAACAATTTTTCAGGAAAATAGGTTTCTCAAGTCCAGTAGCTGTTATTGATCTTTTCATTATTGATAAGGGATTCCTTCTTACTCTTTTGTTTGAAGTAGTGCGGAATGTCAACATTTAATGTCATTATTTTCTCTTTGAGTTACCTGTGCCATCCATTTTAGTTGTTGCTGCTGTTGAGAGTCCTGAAATGACTCTATATTATTTGATACAGTTCTTTGTTTGTGATCTGTAGCACCAGTTGACAATGTTCAAATAGGTATTGCTTTCCCCATGACCTACAGGCTTCACTCACTCAAATCCAAGTTTAAAGATTGGTTTTAGAAAGCAATCGTAGACAGCTGATAGGTGTTATAAGCTGAACAGGTTTGGCTCTATTTATGATATCCACGTGAAAGTCCTAACCTGACGAGGTTATTTAAGGAGATGACCCGAGTTTCCATGTTTTGGTTTTGTAGCAGTTGGTGGTATTTGGCGAAACTACCTCCGACGCAGCCTTTTCTATGTTCAATTGTTTTTTTTTTCTATGCTAAATTTATTATAACTGATCTAACTTCAGCATGAATGCAAAATAATACTAGTGCCATTTTCTACCTGACTTCAATATGAATACAAAAGGACACTAAAAATCATTGCTGATGAATCTTAACAGAGAATGAATACGAAAGAATTTCAGCACCTTCTTTATGTTGGGTCAGTCACTAGGATATCTTGCTGGTCAGTCACGTGGCTTGGGCCTGAAAACAAAATGATACTTGGACAACCAGAGTTACTCTAGATAAGTCGAGACTGAAGTTGGAAGATAATTTCCGAACAAAGCAATTTGCTATATCTACAATAGATGTCAGTAGTTGAAATTGATGGATAAATTCAGTGATAGACCTTAACACATCGGCGGTTGAGCTGCAGAAACGGAGACCATATTGTTTATCCGAAGGACGCTTGACCAATTCGGCATTGATTAGAGCCTCTTTGCCAAAAAGAGGTAAGAGACTAATAGGCCGATAGTTCGACGGTGGTTTAATGGATAGCGGCTCGGATTGAGGAATTTGAGAGCCGAGTTCGAATTCCAGTCGAATTCATTACATTCACTACGTGCTAATACCCTTGGAAAAAATATGAATCCTCTTCTTCTCCCTCCCACAGCTATGGGTATAATAGCAAGAGAGACCAGGTTCTATAGCTTTGAACTGCAACGTACTGCGGGAAAAAAAATCTGCCTCGTCAGTCATGTATCGAAAGATACATGATCGCCGAAGCGTGTATCACGCATGGTACACAACTGACTGAAATTCACTTATGTCCTAATACCCTTAGGAAAGGTATGAATCCTCTTCTTCTACCCGCTCCTCCCAGCTATGGGTAAATAGCAGGACAGACCGGGTTCTATAGCCTTGGATGGCAAATGGTCTACCGCAGAAAGAAATGTCAACCTACTGTGGAAAAAAAATATGCCTCGTCAGTCATGTATCGAAAGATACATGATCGCCTAAGCGTGTATCACGCATGGCACATAACTGACTGAAATTCACTTACGTGCTAATACCCTTGGGAAAGGTATGGATCCTCGTCTTCTACCCCCCCAATATGGGTAAACAGTAAGAGAGACCGGGTTCTATAGCCTTGAATTGCAACTTGTCTACCGCAGAAAGAAATGGCAACCTACTGCGGGAAAAAAATCTGCCTCGTCAGTCATGTATCGAAAGATACATGATTGCCTAATCGTGTATCACGCATGGCACATAACTGACTGAGATGTTCCTCCATAATTCTCAGACGGAAATTACGGAAGCAGACTTCCAGAAAGTTGGAAAATAAGAAGCAGCGAGGTAAAGATAGGAGAGAGCGGGAGCCGGTATTTGAGAGAGTTGTAGGTATGCCGTCGAATCAGTAAGCCTGGAGACCAAGTTTAGAAATAAGAGAAACCAGGGACTGATTTATCTGCATATCACCCAACAGCGTATCTTAGGGGGAAAATGAGGCAGTGATACTCCATATGAATCGGTAGGGAAGTTGGAAGAGATTTTTCCGGGCAAAGCACGTAGATGACAACACTTCAAATGAACTGAAAAGAAGAGGGACTAAAGATTTGCTTTTCTTTAGCGCACTCTTGCAGAGTCGCCAGTAATTTCTAGAACCAAACTTGTGGAAGTCTATACGGTGTCTTATGCTATCAGTAAATGGTGACTTTTCTTCTTTGAGGACACGCTTGAACTCATTACGACCAAGGACAAAGAGACGTCATTTAATGTCATGGGTCCTTACCTATAACTACAGAATGAACTCTTCCTAACATTATGTATACGACGCTATTATGTATTCGTTCGCGGAGAATGACCAACCCGATCTCGTTTATACGTTTCCTACGGGCATTTTTTGGCCGAGCCTACGGGCTCGGGAAACCCACCATAAACTCGGCCTTGTGCCACATGCAACCCTCGTGGGGGGTGGCTAGATACCGAATCAAGCCGAGCTTCTCGACTTGACGGTCGAACTCTCTGCCTCTGAGCAGAGAGGAACCCGGACGACGCTCCGCCGAAGGGGTCTCTCGTTCGGGGAGAATGACCAACCTGATCTCGTTTATACGTGTCCTACGGGCATTTTTTGGCCGAGCCTACGGGCTCGGGAAACCCACGATAAACTCGGCCTTGTGCCACATGCAACCCTCGTGTGGGGTGGCTAGATACCGAATCAAGCCGAGCTTCTCGGCTTGACGGTCGAACTCTCTGCCTCTGAGCAGAGAGGAACCCGGCCGAAGGGCAGAGTCTCGTTCGGGGAGGTTGACCAACCCGATCCCGTTTATACTGGTTCTACGGGCATTTTTGGCCGAGCCTACGGGCTCGGGAAACCCCGTTAAACTCTGCCTTGTGCCACATCTTTTCCTCGTGTGGTGGGGGGAGCAAGTAAATACCGAATCGAGTCGAGCCGATAGTAGTTCACTCCAAACCAGACTGACAGTCATACTAACACCTTCCACGTCTTGTATTATTATTTCGTGTAATATACCTTCGTTATTTCTACTCTTGTGTTCGTGTTGTTCTTCCTTGGTCCTAACCTGGACCATAACAGTTACAATCGACATGTCGCTCTGATATAGCCGGAAGAAGTGAATGCTGTGGACTATAGCGGGTAAACAGACAAGAGAGAATCAAGGAAAAGTCCCTTGAACGTAATAGATGTTTGTTTTTGTTTTTTTTTTCCTTTTGGTCTATCTCGAGTATAAACACAAATGAATACTGGGAATTTATTAGCTCGTTCAGAAAATAATGTTCGATTTTTTAATAATTCAGAAACGTGCTCTCAAATACGTGATGCGGTCTTTGTACACTCGGGAAAATAGTATTAGTTTGTTGGAAATATAATCTCCAGTTTTAGAAAAAAACAACAACTTTATGTTTTAATTTCATATCAATCTCTTTCAAAAACGTGTTCTCAAATACGTGACGCACCCTTTGTGTATACACTGGAAAATAGTGTGAGGCAGTAGGGAAAATAATGTCCGGTTTTTAGAATAAACCTTTTAATTGTGTTCTAATATATTATTATAATAGTTGCATAAAAATATATTACCTATTTCTAATGATTAAAGAGCCCTCTTTGTTAATTTCATATCAATCTCTTTCAGAAACGTGTTCTCAAATACGTGACGCACCCTTTGTGTATACACTGGAAAATAGTGTGAGGCTGTAGGGAAAATAATGTCCGGTTTTAGAATAAACCTTTTAATTGTGTTCTAATATATTATTATAATAGTTGCATAAAAATATATTACCTATTTCTAATGATTAAAGAGCCCTCTTTGTTAATTTCATATCAATCTCTTTCAGAAACGTGTTCTCAAATACGTGACGCACCCTTTTGTGTATACACTGGAAAATAGTGTGAGGCTGTGGGAAAATAATGTCCGGTTTTAGAATAAACCTTTTAATTGTGTTCTAATATATTATTATAATAGTTGCATAAAAATATATTACCTATTTCTAATGATTAAAGAGCCCTCTTTGTTAATTTCATATCAATCTCTTTCAGAAACGTGTTCTCAAATACGTGACGCACCCTTTGTGTATACACTGGAAAATATTGTGAGGCTGTAGGGAAAATAATGTCCGGTTTTAGAATAAACCTTTTAATTGTGTTCTAATATATTATTATAATAGTTGCATAAAAATATATTACCTATTTCTAATGATTAAAGAGCCCTCTTTGTTAATTTCATATCAATCTCTTTCAGAAACGTGTTCTCAAATACGTGACGCACCCTTTGTGTATACACTGGAAAATAGTGTGAGGCTGTAGGGAAAATAATGTCCGGTTTTAGAATAAACCTTTTAATTGTGTTCTAATATATTATTATAATAGTTGCATAAAAATATATTACCTATTTCTAATGATTAAAGAGCCCTCTTTGTTAATTTCATATCAATCTCTTTCAGAAACGTGTTCTCAAATACGTGACGCACCCTTTGTGTATACACTGGAAAATAGTGTGAGGCTGTAGGGAAAATAATGTCCGGTTTTTAGAATAAACCTTTTAATTGTGTTCTAATATATT